TTTTTTTTTTTGGGGATTGTTTTGATGCCATCATGATGTTAAATGCTCGAGTTAGATATACTGCTTTTGCATTCTACCCTAGAGACCATGTCACTGACTCACTGCATCTTTGAATTTTTTTATTCATTATAATGTAGAAGAGTGGAATGCCAGCCTCTAATTTTTTTTAACCTTTGTGGAAATTCTACATCACAAAACCTTGACCTTTGTTCGTTCAATTCTCAATGGTAAGAACAAGGTCAAATTTTGTATCAATGTTGAGATAACGTTCAAGTTTTATTCTTGGTTTATTCGAAAGAAGTGTAATTGATGGTTTTGCATCCATGCCTGTGATTGTAATTCTGGTGAAAGTTTTAGAGGAAAGAGAGTTGTAGTTGTGGGATGTGGAACTTGAGGCATGGAAGTGTCTCTTGATCTTTGCAACCATGATGTGATTTATAGGTTTTCTTTTTTAGGTTCATATATTGCCAATGGTTCTTACTTATTTTTCTTTGCTTTTTTTCGTGATTATAATTGGTACAAATGTCTAAAATGTGGTATCTATCTTTATCTCCTTTTTTTATAGGTCGGGATCGATATTTAAGGCATAGCTCAGTCGAAGATTGCTGAGAAGAAAATTACAGAGGCCGATAGAGTGGTTTCACATACTACTTAGCTAGTTTTTTTTTTTTTGGAAAAATGTATTGGGTTTTTAGGTGTTTTAGAATTTTGGATCTAGATTTTATACGAATATTGTTACATTTTAGAGTTCAATTAATAATTATTATTGGAGTTATTTGATATAATTATTTTCTATTATGTTTTGTGGTTGATAAATGTGAATCACTCTACAAAAAAAAAGGACCTGCGGCAAACGTTTGTTAAACGTTGCAAAAGCCTTTCTTTTACAACGTTTAGCAAACGTTTGCCGTAGGTCAACAAACGTTGCAAAAATTCTTCCCTCAACGGCAAAATCAACCTTCGTAGCAAACACTAAAACGTTGCAAATGGTCTTTTGCAACGTTTCTTGACCGTTGCAAAAATCTTTTTTTTTGGTGTAGTGGACATTCGTTTTCTAAGAGATGTGAAATCCTAAAGGATTATAAAAGAACCTAAGATAAGTGTGTCGTTTGGTCATCGATATACTTCATAGATCAGAATGGTATGAAGTGTAATTTTTATTGTTATATATTTGTATACGGAAAATGCACGTATCTTACTTGGTGTTTTTGAATACTCACTCTTACAAGTTTTTACAGATTAGTTCGGGTCGATTGGATTTGTGGTAGGGCGGTGATGCGGGTTGCTAAGAGGATCGTAGGAATAAAGAATAAATTTTTCATTAAGTTTTTCTGCCTACAAAATTATTTGTTTACTTATTTTAAGACATGTTTATTGTTATTTTTCATATACGATTGCTATGTTTACTTTAAATTTATGAATGCCATAGTTATTATTTATTAAAGAATTTTATTTTGATCTTCTGCTATGCCAAATTAAAGAAAAAAAAATGAATTTTTGGTAACGCTCATATGTTATGAAAATTTGGTGCATTACAGGTTATCTGCAGTTATCTGTCTCTGTTTCTAAATATTGTACATTTGTGTGAAAATTTCTGCACATTAACATTTGGTGTGTGTTGATATTGTAGTTTCTACACTTATTTGGGATATTAAATGATGATATTTTGTTATTCTTTGAACGGATTAGTACCTGATTTGTTATTTATTGTTTTTATTAGGAAAAGTTCTTGTTTCAAAGAATAATTGAAAAAAGAACGGAAAATGGCTAAATGAAGCAAATCTAAAGTATGGGGACCAAAGTGTAAATATTTAATGGTTGATTTGGACCACAAAAGATACTTTGAAGATTGATAGGAGTCAATTGAATGAAAATTGGAGTAAAAAAGGAAAGAGATATGATTAGAATATTACCATAAATCGACTTCCAATCATATATGATATTTTCAAGATTTTTGGTCAACTTGAGACCCATTTTTGGATGGAGAACGTTTAAATTAGAAAAATTGTAACTCTAGAAGAATTGTAGATCTTTTAATTATTTTTCCAATACACTTTGAATCACCTGAATTGGACACCAAAAGAGAAAATTATGATCAAAATACTGAAGGTTGTGCAGAGACAAAATTATGTGCGCGTGAATGCAACTTTCTTTATTTGATTCAAACTCTTTTGAAAGACAATTTGGACGTGAATTTTAATCTAATTTCATTATATAAATACAAGATATGGGCAGCAGTGAAAGTGTCTCTCTCTTGCCTCTTCATACACAATAGTTTCATAAAATCCATCAAGAATAAGAGACCAATTGCTATATTTTGAGAGAGAATATCAAGTCATAGCAAGGAATTGAAGTTCAATTACGTCAAGTTTTGAAGAATTCAACTTTGGACGTGAAGATCAACATCTTTTGTATTCTTTCATGATCCGAGTGATATTTTTCTATTATTCTTCTTGTAATTTATATATTAAAATGCTATGCTAGTTTTTCATTGTATTGGATGAGATGAACCCTATTATTTATTTATTTTAATTGAAGAAAAGTATTTAGTTTAATTCGTGTATTACTTGATTAATTTTGCATTCCCGTTGCACTATTGAATTGTTTGGCCACCAATTGAGTAGTTAGTTGCTTGTTGTAGTGTAGGAATACTCACAACGAGTCTAGAACGTGACAAAATTAACATGTATAGTTAGGATTATGAATAATATCTATCATACATGCAATCATATTGAAAACTTAAACTAATTGCATGATTTTCATATGAATTCAGACTAGGAATAGGATCGGGTCTTGTTAATCATAGGTTGACGTATCTTAGAAAAGAACATATAACATATTAGTGTTATCGATTGTCAAGAACTCGTGAAAGAAATTAGATTACGAATCAAGAATTGAAATAAATAGCAACAAGCGGAGTCAAAATCCAATACAATCCTCCATAATTTGATAAACCCCAATTTTTATTGTTTTATTAGATTAGTTTAGTTTAAATCAAATCAAAATATTTATTTTATTTTCATAACTAGAATTACATACAAAACTAGTAAACTTGAATTAAATTTATTCTCTGTGGGACGATAACTCTTAACTCACTTATTATTACTTGTCAACGATCCCGAACACTTGCGGGTATCACACGAACAAGTTTTTGGCGTTGTTGTCGGGGAATAAAGTTTTAGTTTGAGTTCATTAGTTTACATTGGATTTGAATTTTTTATTATTTTTATTTTTATTTATTTATTATTTTATTTATTATTTTTTGTTATTTTAGGCTTTAATCGTGATACCTAATTTCTTCTTATTTTATTCTTAAGACTTTTACTAGATCTCGAAATCGAAAGGACCTTTAAACAACGCTAAAAGAATTAAGAAAAACGAGGGTAATGGTTGAGAATCAAGATCAGATTCAAAATACACTGCAGAATGTAGCACTTCAGGTTCAACAATCACCTCCAACTCAGCCTATATTGGTTAGAGATTATGTGAATCCAATACCTGCACCGATTCAACCTCCTATTGTCTATCCACCGTTCGGACAAGCAAACTTTCACATCCAACCAGATGTCATAAATCTTTTCCAGAATCATCAAGATATCAGGTTCAGCGGGAAAGTTACGGAAAATCCACACGAACATATTCAAGCTTTTACCATACTTTGTGATGTCATTAGCCATGAGGGGATGTCACAAGTTGCATTCCGAATGCGTTTATTCCCTCACACTTTGAAAGAGGGTGCGAAAATATGGATGATGTCACAACCCCCTGGGAGCATCATATCGTGGAATGACATGGTACAAAAATTTACCATGAAATTCTTCCCACCATCTCGAGTCCACCAAATCATAAACGAAGTATATCTTTTTAGACAGAAGGATCATGAGACATATCCCGAAGCATGGGACAGGTTCAAAAGTGCGTTTAGGAAATGTCCAAATCTTGATGTTCCTAAATTGGCACAAATATATCTATTCTGTAATGGATTGCGCGCTGAACTTCGCAATATAGTTGATGCTTCTGCAGGTGGATCAATTTTGACTATCAAGGTGGATGATACACATAATTTATTTGAAAGGATTGCTGAGAATCAGGCCAACTAGCTAACAGATAGGGAAGCTCCGAGAAAAAAAGCTGGATTGCATAATGTGGACGCAGTGACAGCATTAGCAGCACAGATGGAAGCAATAACAAAGAAGCTTGATACTTTAACTCAATCTGTGTACATGGGGCAGATCACATCACTTCAAGCTGCCCTTTGGCTTCTAGTCACATGGGTCAGTCAGCAGAGGTCAGTTATGCGCAGAACTATCGGAGGTAAAATGGATCTTACCCATACAACTACCATCCGGGTTTGAACAAGCATCCCAACTATTCGTGGGTGGATAATCCAGATCAAGTAAATTAGATAAAGGGCAATCCACCAGTAATTCAGCAACAGCAAGGTAAGAGGCAATCCTTGGAAGACCTACTGGTCACGTACATCACCAAGATTGAAACAGTAATGTAGAATCAACAGACTTCCATACATAACCTAGAAAATCAGGTGTGATAGATAGCAGCTGCATTAGCCAACAAACCATAGGGTACCTTGTCGAATGACACAGAGAAGAACCCACGGGAGCATGTATTAGTAGTTGAGGCGGTAAATTATGCAACTATTGAGCTCCCATCTACCACATCCACCACCCCTGTCAAAGCTTATGTGCCTTCCATTTCCTCAAAGACTTCAACGCCAGCCAACAGCAGAGCAAGTTCAGGCCATCACTACTAGGAGTGGTTTTGAATTGCAAGAAATTACTGTAAAGAGGAAGGAGACAGAGAGAACTCAAATGCCTACTAAGCATAAGGAACCGATGGAGCAATCTGAAGAAGCAATAGAAAAGGACCAACAGACAGTTTCAGACAATCCACAGCTTAAGGCAAATGTTCCTGGCCCTTCACTGACACCTCTGGTTCCTTTTCCTCAAACGTTACAGAAGACCAAATTGGAGAAGTAAGCTATGAAATTCCTGAAAATTCTCAAAAAGTTACATGTCAACATCCCATTCATTGACGCTATCCTTCAAATCCCAAACTATTCAAAGTTTTTGAAGGAGATGCTGACTAAAAAGAGGAAGATGCCCGAGCATGAAACAATAACACTATCTGAAGAGTGCAACGCCATCATCCAGCACAGGATCCCTCCCAAACTTAAAGATCTAGGGGGTTTCACTCAACCTTGCTCCATAGGAAACTTACAAGGTATTAATTGTTTAATTGATTCAGGAGAAAATATTAACTTAATTCTTTTGCCTCTTTACAGGTTTGCCTCTTTACAGGAAATTGGGATTGGGAGATCCCAAAGCTGGCAGACCGAACATTGAAACATCCCTATGGAATAATCGAGGACATGCTCATCAAGACGGGAGAATTTATTTTTCCAGCTGACTTTATCATTCTAGACATAGAAGAGGCATCCCAAATTCCAATAATACTAGGAAGGCCATTCCTGTCAACAAGTCGAGCATTACTTGATTTTGATACAAACAAGATAGTCCTGAGGGTGGAGGATAAGCAATAAAGCTTCATCATGGAGAATCCAATCAAGCAACCATCATATTTTGAGGATTGCCAACAAGTTGATCACTAGGAGAGTTACAAAGGCCGGCCAGATGTAGGTGAAATTGTTGGTAGGGATAACAATGGAAACTTGATCATGTGGCGGATGAAAGATGAAAGAAAGAAGTGCAACCAGTGCTTAAAATGCAGGGCTGGAAATTCTCTTTTCAAGCCACCTGAAGAGCCTAAAAGCAACAAAGTCTAGTTAAAGACTATAAATTAAGTGCTTGTTGGGAGGCAACCCAATATTTCTATCCATTTATTTTATTTTACTATAATTAGAATAGTTTAAGATAATTTAGATTAATTTTTATCTTAGGGACTCATCATCCATACCACGTTTTCTCTTAGGTCTTTGAGATTTAGTGGTTTATTAGATGTTTGGGCTAAGTAACACATATTTTAGGTTATTTGATCTCTAATTTTTTATTTAACTACCATATGCAGGAACATGATGTCGCAAAACACTCAAACCAACATAAACCAAGGGGAAAACATGATGAAGGAGAATGTCTAACAGCTGCCCAAAGTTCATTCTACGTTCAATAGGAAAATTCGGGGAGTACCTTTTTCCTTTCATTCCATGTCCCCTTACATTCTCAATTATGTTTTAAGACATTGAGGACAATATCAAATTTAAGTTTGGGGGTGGGAAAAACTTTTTGAGTTTGTGTATTTCTTTAAAAAAATATAAAAAATTTCGTTAAAATTTCTATTTTTGTGCGTCAAAAAAATTATCTGTTTATTTATTTTTGTTTGTTTGTGTGCTTGTGTGGGTTAGAAAGATTGGCGGACTATAATGATTAAATTTGAGGTTTGGTATTGATTTATGAACTGTGAATAAGATGCATGCTAAACTAATTGAAGCTCAACGTTGCAAGACTTGATATTATACATGCACTAGAATTGAGTTTAACATTGTGATGAAATGAGTTGATTCATATGCTTGATAGGTTGATTTAATCAGACATAGACGCTTTAACCATACCATACAAATTATTTATACTTAGACCAAATTTAGCACAGTTTGAGGGTGATTTTGCTGTTGCAGAAAGATACGGATGTGGATAGGGATTCCATGTGTGAAAACTTATGTGTGGATTCTCTTAGACTAACAGGATAAAATTGGGTGAAAGTTTTGAGTTGGAGGTCGATTTGATTGAATAAGTGTGTGATAAGGGGCATTGCACTAATCAAGGCATATATTTTGAAATTCAAAACTTCTCTCTAAAGCCTTTATGACTTGAGTAATTAAGCTTGCAAGGGTATCTTAAAACCTGATGCCCTAAAGTCATCTGACTTGGGAGTCATTGGCTTAAAGCTCGTTACAGGGGTCATTTAAAAAGCAATCAGAGATGAAGTTGCACTTGAAAAAAAAAAGTGTTCTCTTTGAAGCCTTTTTGACTCAAATTATTAAGCATGTAAGGATATCTTAAAATCGGGTGCCCTAAAGTCATCTGACTTGGGAGTCATCGATCTAAAGCCTGCTATAGGGGTCATCTAGAAAGCTTAATGGAGAGAAAAAAAACTCTAAAAAAATCAGAAAAAGCAAGTGCATGGAAAAAAGCAGAAGCACTAAATACCTTGTTAAGTCCTAACACTTATTCGAGAAAAATTAACTTTCGATTAAAGATAATTCCCCTAATTGAGTCTTGGTGGTCGAAGCAATCAAGTTAAATGAGAATCCTTGTTCATTGATGTATTGACTTGCAACCAATGATGTCCACCTGAACTAGAGAGGGTAAGGATAGTAATAAAAAATTCAACCTTAGATCACACGCTGGGAAAATAGTGAAAAAGAATAAATTTAGGGATGTGTGAATCTTACGAGAGATGAAATGATATATTTCACCATAGAAGGTCGGGAATTGAAACAACTTGTGAAATCATTAATGTCTACTTAATTTTTCACACACACACACACGTCGATTTTGCATTGGAAGAGTAGATATTGGTTTGGTATTGTGACTTTGAAGCAGTTTATAGATTTAATACGGTGATCTCGAATTCTGTGATAAAAAGGTAGATTGTCCAACCAAATATTTTTGCATGCTTGTATGTTTGTTATTATTTAAGTTATATTTTTGTTTGAGGACAAACAAAGATTCAAGTTTGGGGGTTAGATAAGTATAGTTTCTACACTTATTTGGGTTAAATGATGATATTTTGTTATTCTTTGAACGGATTAGTGCCTGATTTGTTATTTATTGCTTTTATTAGGAAAAGTTCATGTTTCAAAGAAGAATTGGAAAAAAGAACGAAAAATGACTAAATGAATCAAATCCAAAGTATGGGGACCAAAGTGTAAATATTTAATGGTTGATTTGGACCACAAAAGATACTTTGAAGATTGATAGGAGTCAATTTTGGAGTCAAAAAGGAAAGGAATATGATTAGAATATTACCATAAATCGACTTCAAATTATATAAGATATTTTCAAGATTTTTGGTCAACTTGAAACCCATTTTTCGGATGGAGAACATTTGAATTGGAAAAATTTTATTTCTAGAACAATTGTAGATCTTTTAATTAGCTTTCCAATGTACTTTTAATCACCTGAATCGGACACCGATAGAGAAAGTTATGATCAAAATACTGAAAGCTGTGCAGAAACAAAATTATGTGCGCGCGAAGGCAACTTTCCTTATTTGATTCAAACTGTTTTGGAAGACAATTTGGACGTGAATTTTGACCTAATTTCATCATATAAATACAAGATATGGGCAGCAATGAAAGGGTCTCTCCTCTTCATACACAATAGTTTCATCAAATCCGTCAAGAACAAGGGTTCAATTACTGTATTTTGAAAGAGGAGATCAAGCCATAGCAAGGAATTGAAGTTCAATTACATCAAGTTTTGAAAAATTCAACTTTGAATGTGAATATCAATATCTTTTGTATTCTTTCATGATCTGGGTGATATTTTTCTATTCTTCTTCTTGTAATTTATATATTAATATGCTAGGCCAATTTTTCATAGCATTGGATGAACGATGAACCCTATCGTTTGTTTATTTTAATTCAAAATAATTAATTTAGTATTTCATGATTTTTTCTTGATTGATTTTGCATTCCCATTGAACTATTTAATTGCTTGATCACCAATTAAATAGTAAGTTGCTTGTTGTAATGTAGGAATACTCACAATAAGTCTAGAACGTGGTAAAATCAATACATGGACAATAGGTGTTAGGAATAATATTTATGGCATGTGCAATCATGTATGATAAATCCTGTGAATCAATGCATGTTTTTCATATGAATTCGGACTAGGAATAGGATCGGGTCGTGTTAAACATATGTTTAATATATCTTGGGAAAGAATGTTGAATAAAAGTGGATTATCGATTGTTTTGAATGCATGAATTTACTAGATTATAAATTAAGAGTTGAATTAAATGACAATAGGGGGATTCATGATTCCAATACAAATATTCACATATTATATAAATATTTTACTTGCTTTCTTAGTTTAAGATTAGCATAGAAAACATGCAAATCATAACTTTTTTGATTTTATATTACTTTGAATTTAGCAAAGTTACTTAACTAAATATTAGACCTTATTTCTCGTGGAAACAATACTCTTAACTCACAAATTTTATTACTTGTAAAACGATCCCGTAGGTTTGCGGGTTTCACACGAACAAGTTTTTGGATTAGTGTAATATCCCTTATTAAACACCCAGCCAAGAAAATCGGGTGGGATAGATAGCCAAAAATTTGTTCGTGTGATACCCGCAAGCGTACGGGATCGTTGACGAGTAATAATAAGTGAGTTAAGAGTTATCGTCCCACAGAGAATAAATTTAATTCAAGTTTACTAGTTTCATATGGAATTCTAGTTATGAAAACAAAATAAAAATTTGATTTGATTTAAACTAAACTAATCTAAGAAAGCAATAAAAATTGGGGTTTTATCAAATTACGGAGGATTGTATTGGATTTTGACTCCGCCTATTACTATTTATTTCAATTCTTGATTCGTAATCTAATTTCTTTCACGAGTTCTTGACAATCGATAACACTAATATGTTAAATGTTCTTTTCCAAGATACACCAACCTATGATTAACACGACCCGATCCTATTCATAGTCCGAATTCATATGAAAATCATGCATTTAGTTTAAGTTATCAAAATGATTGCATGTATGATAGATATTATTCCTAATCCTAACTATACATGTTAATTTTGCCGCGTTCTAGACTCGTTGTGAGTATTCCTACACTACAATAAGCAACTAACTATTCAATTGATGGCCAAACAATTCAATAGTGCAATGGGAATGCAAAATTAATCAAGTGACACATTAATTAAACTAAATACTTGTCTTGAATTAAAATAAATAAATAATAGGGTTCATCTCATCCAATACAATGAAAAACTAGTCTAGCATGTTAATATATAAATTACAAGAAGAATAATAGAAAAATATCATCCGGATCATGAAAGAATACAAAAGATGTTCATCTTCATGTCCAAAGTTGAATTCTTCAAAACTTGATGTAATTGAACTTCAATTCTTTGTTATGGCTTGATCTTCTCTATCAAAATATAGCAATTGGCCCCTTGTTCTTGATAGATTTGATGAAACTATTGTGTATGAAAATGCAAGAGAGAGACCCTTTCATTGGTGCCCATATCTTGTATTTATATGATGAAATTAGTTTAAAATTCACGTCCAAATTGTCTTCCAAAAGAGTTTGAATCAAATAAGGAAAGTTGCATTTGCGCACACATAATTTTGTCTCTGCACAAGTTTCAGTATTTTGATCATAACTTTCCCTTTCGGTGTTCGATTCAGGTGATTCAAAGTGTATTGGAAAGATAATTTTTCTAAATATAATTTTTCTAATTCAAACGTTCTTCATCCAAAAAATGGGTCTCAAATTGACCAAAAATCTTGAAAATATCATATATGATTGGAAGTCGATTTATGGTAATATTCTAATCATATCC